TATCAGGTTACATCCCAGTCACCGCTGCTGCCGCCGTGCGCCGGTCCTGGTCTCTAATCCCGGTTCTCAGCTCTCCACTGACAGCTAAACTTGCCCTAATCCAGACAGCTGGGAAGCGGCTAACCTCAAGAGTCAGATCATTGACCCAGAGGGACAGGGGTCGCCCACACCACGCACTACGAAAGGAGGAGGCGAGGACAGCATTCTCTTTTTTCCCATTTGGGGAGATCACCACAGCGATACAAGGATCTTTTCGATCTGGACGACGTGCTGGCTGGGCCGGGCTTAGGCAAGCCATGCCTATGAAGTAGCGTGCTAGCAGAGCCTGTGGCAAAGAATCTTCAGCTGTGTTCTTCCAGTCCTCCTACTCCCCACGTAACTAAGCGGAGCTATGAAGTGCCGGCACCAGCCTGCCAATCGCGTCAGTATGCAGGCAGGAGAGGACAATCATGAACTCCGCATGGAGCAGGTTGCGCGGACTTGACACGATTGCATGTCCCAGCTCTAGTGTCAACGTAAGCCCAGGGTAGCTTGAGTACGTGTCTGCCGTCTGCGCAAGTCTTGAACTTGTCGCTACGCACTGCGGTGATCCAGCAGCCAGTACTACTGACCAGGGTTCCGCCTACTATGGCTACGTCAGGCATTCTGCTGTCAGGTTCCAGTCTTGCCGGTAAGGATGTCGATGATTGTCTCGTACCTCGATGCTGAGGCGACAAAGTCGTTCAACGACGGGATCCAGGCTGCGTCGAGAGCTCTCTGTTCTGTCCGTGCGTGTCTAGGAGACAAAAATGTTTCCTCCCATCGCCTCTTGGAGGCTCGACACCACTATCCCAGGGCAACTGCCTGCGAGATTCGCCAAGAATTGGGATCGGCAACCCGAGCTGTCGGGAGCTGAGAGCTCCGTGCGTGGCCTAGTGGGGCCATTCTCGGCCCAGCAGCGGAAGAAAAGTCTATCCATCAGGATGTGCAGGCAGGACACGCTAGTCGAGATACCCTCACCTGTGCATGGCACGGGATGTGCCACCTGATATGGAGAAGACCATACAGGGTGAAGCTGGACTGCAGCCATTGCTGTTGTCCTTGCAGTAGCTCTGCCACCGGCCCTTGCTTAGGGAGTACCAGCAGGTCAGTATGCTGGGAGTTGAAGACGAAACACACTCTTCGCTTCGGTCGAGGCCCCGGATAGGACTGCACCCGAGCGTAGCTCCCAGTCAAGTCAAAGGTGTCTTCCAACTGCAGGACAAGCACACTCTCCTCGGCCGCATGGCCACCTCGCCAACCGCATCGGCATTGTGGCTATGATGGTCTGCCACAGAGATTCAGTCGCCCGCCACAACCCATGGGGACATGGGAAGGGTAACTGCCATTGCCGAGTCATGCAAAGGCCGCAAAAGGTCCTCCTCCATGTGTCTATCGGTCGCGCCGCGGGAAACAATGAGGGTGATGTTGGTCCCTGACAGCTCCCAACGTCCACACAACACAGCCCTGGTGGTCTAGAACATCGTGACACATGGCCGCCACCACACGTCCGCCCGCTCTGGAGTGGAGATGGGGGGGGGGGGGGGGGCACAGCACGCACAAATGCCGGAAGCTTGGCGCTCGGGTACATCCGATCTGGGGAAGCTGTTCGCCGAGGGTCGAGAAATCTAGACTCTTTTGAAGGATGAAGCGGAGTGTTGGCGTCAAGTCGAGCAATGGCGTCTTGCCTTGGTGGCGGCGTTCGAGTTCGGCGGCTGGGTTTCGGAGTTCGGCGCGGCGCGGTGCAATGCGTTGCGGTGGTCTTCGCGCTGACCAGGTCCGGTCAGCGAGTCGTAAGTATCGCTTTTATCGTCGCTGTTTGAAATTTCCGGTACACGAACAGGTTTCCGTTGTCGGAATTGTTTTTCCTGGTGTTTTTGCCAGTGGTTGTTTGTTGCACATCTGGGGTTTTTTGATCGTGCAAGTGTAGAAATGTTTCTCGAGTTCTCTCTTTAGGTACACAGAGCAAGACATCATTTGTAAACCACATAATACAATTGCCAGGACGTTGCACATGGCGTCTCATCGTTGAAACCCGGGGATGACACCGGATTGACGGATTGCTTCGTCAGAGAGAGACAATACGTTTGCGCTGTAGTATCTTCAGGACTGCAATTGGTCCGAATGTGAGCGTAGTTTTAGAATGCCTGAACTTGTCAAGCCTCGCCCACAGGTCTCAAGCTGCATGCGTTTCCACTGAGGTTTCAACTAGAAAGTGTGCAGTAGAGAGGGTCCTTGAGGATGCCGACTGTCCGGCCAAGACTGGGCGGTACAGTACACACAGCACTGCCAATCAACAAACCTACCGGCCCAGTCCAAGTTTAGATTGATGCGTGTGGGCGGTAGACTGTGAGTTAGTTGAAGATGATGGTGTGCTCTGTAGGTGGGCTTCTAACGGTGTTGAGAAGAGACAGATCCGCATGTGCGTGGATTACGTCCACTATCGGTGTCGTTGGTAATGTGTCTCCTGTGTTCTTGGTCGGCATTACTGAGTGGCATCGAGGTCTGTGTACTTGCTCCCCCCTCGACTCAAGCCAAGACTCGTTGTTCAATATCAGCACTCTAGCACCTTGGCGTCTCTGAGTAAGATACCCAGCACCTGGGATAATGATCAGCAGCAGCATATTTTGCTTTTCCGGAAAGGTCCTACTTCGTGTCTCGATGGTTGAATATTTCAATTAAAAGTCTGCGAGCAGCACGGATATGTCGCTAAGCATCTGCCTGGAGACCCGTATCCTTTACATCTGCGCCGAAGAACAAAGAGTTCAAAAGTGACAAAGAGTGGCATTCAGATACTATCTCCTGTGGGTATTAGCATGGGGAACAAGAACTCATCAAGTACAGATGGCGCTGATGAACGCTGCAACCGAGGCAACCAAGCAAGACCAGCCAGGCATCTACTCCAGGGCAAAAAAGGACGAGAAAAGCAAGAGAAACCATCGAAGGATCTATCTGGCCGTCCAATCCTTTCCAGGTACCATCCTCACCGTCCCTCTCTGCTCGTCATGCCCGAAAGAACCTCTCTGAAACAACACAAAGCACACCACGAACACAAGACACAATGTCCGCCAGCAACGGTATTCCGTAAGCGAGACATCCCCATTCCCCATGCCAAAAGAGAGACATAGTTTGTGTGAGAGGACGCAACTTTCTGATCGATGACAACCTTGTGATGTATCTAGCACCAACCTCACAGTGATCCTGATGCCGTCTACTGGCAGCAGCAGCGGCAGCAGCAGCGGCAGCAGCTACGCCAGGCAGAGAATCAGTGTGATGAGCAAACAGTTGGAGGAGCAGAGGAAGCTGGTCTGGGAGCAGACTGCCCAGTTGCGCGCGCGCTGCGACGAGCAGCTAGTGGCGCTGCAGCTGCGCAACGAGCGGATCCAAGCTGCTTGTGCCATTGACCAAGAGCCTGCCCCAGCGGCGTGGGAGGAGAAGCCTTGAGTCATCTGAACAGAGACGTGTGTGGCGGTTCCAGAAACCTTGGTCATGGAGACATCGAGAACCAATTTTGTCATGGCGATTTGATAAGATGACTCGTGGAACTGGTTGCAACGCCCTCTTATGTACCACGGCGGAACAGACTCTGAGAATAAGGCGAACGGGTGACATTTTCGGAGTTTAGGCTCGGGGCCGTGAGCAAAGCCTCGAGCTTACTCGTGGGCTTTCTCAATTCATCATTGTCTGGTCGTATTTCAACAGCTTCGAGGAGACACAAAGATGGGTCAAGCAGTACGACTTCTGGCGGAGAAAGCTTGCCTTCATGTCATGTGAGGAGGACCTCGGATGTGAAGAGCTAGGCAATTGCTTGCAGGTCTGTAAATCTCATCTCATTGACACGGATGGAGAACCTACCCGCCATAGCAACGACCAAAGGACCTCCCTTTCCTTGAGAGGCTCGACAGGATTATCGGGGATTACCTGAAAAGGAAGACTGAGACATGCGTGACTTGCAGCATGAGACACGGCAGAGGCAGCGTCTGCAAGGGGCGTCTGGCCTACTGAGTCAGGAGTAATTAGATTGTGAACGGTCACTTTTCTCTGCAATGTACCACACCTGCCTTGACTGGCTTGGATTGGCCCACTGCCTTCAGATGGATGGTTATTGAAGATGGATCGTGAACATTGAATCATGAGAACGCATATGATTACGCAGTCTGGGGGAGCATCGCGGCCTTAGCAGGCCACAGGACTTGCGTATCGTCAACCAGGTGAAGACAGCCAGAAGGATTCGCATGAGCGTCATCCAGTCATCCTGGTGCGCCTCCACCTCCATCTGTGACAGGTGATGTACCGGCCCGACCCTACCACTCGGAGGAAATGACGTCTTCCAGCATCACACAAGACCTCGGTGGCTTACAGTGCGTTCTCCGCATTCTGAACTGCTTCAGCCGGCCGCACTTCCATCGCTAGCCGCTGCACCCAATATGCTAGGTGTGTGGCAAAGCCTCGGACACCATCCATCCCTGCACAGCAACTCCTGTTTAGGAGAGACTTCACGACTGCAATCTCTTAGACCAACAGCATATGTCTAGATGTCTGCTGGGCAAGTAGAGGCGTTGATGAGTTGACACTGGGAACTAAAAGGCTGGCACAGCCGGCCATGGCCACTCTGGCAGCAGGAAAAGGCATACAGTCCGCGTGATTAAGCCTGGACATATGCACCCGTATGGCTGTCACCGAGAGATGTTTCTGCGCCACAGAGCGCGTCGTGCCGTCGCAATCCGGCCTCACAAAATAATTGGCTCGCGTGCCACCAACCACACACAACACAGCGAAAACTCTAGAGCACTGCTGAAGAGAGATGAGAACACCATTTCATTTCTGGAAAGTCGGGCGCAACAGTGAGGAGTATATGCGGTAGCAAAAAGACAGCAGGCGAAGCATTTCGCCGCACCAAGAAAAAAAACCTTGGATCGAAGAAAACAAAACACAAAAAAAGATTGTAAACGCCTGAGACGTCCGCTGTTGCTATACGCTAGCGACGCGAGCAGGATTTGAACCTGCGCTCCCGAAGGAAATAGATTTCTAGTCTATCGCATTAGACCACTCTGCCATCGCGCCGAGTAGTGGTTGTTGAAGAAAGTGGACTATATTTGCGCATATAAACGTTTTGTGCGCGAGCCAGTGGCACTCTGAGAAAAAGTGGGGATTTCTGGCTCTAGCGCCATTCTTAGCAAGTTTTTGGTGGGCAAGTGGGACCCACCCTCGGATCTCACCGGGAGACTCCCAATTTGGAAATAATGCTTCGGAGTGGACGTCTGGTGTTGTTAAGTCTTGCAAGAAGTAGAGCCAAAGTGGTTGTGCCCTACGATTGCACGGCTTCTGAAAAGCTGTTCCTCTATCGAGGGAGTTACTGGATCCATTTTCTGACCTCTGTGCCGCCTTCGCTCATGTCTCCGAGCTATTCATGCCCTGTGTATTGGAGCCCCAGCGGAACTGTGGACCTCGTAGATGATAACACATTCACTTTCTGCAAGCATGCGATGTCTATTGTTGAGGTCCCTATTTCTTATTACTTATCGACACGCAAGGACCATCGCAGCTGTGTAGGTGTCTCAAGGAGGCTTTCCTCTTCTACTAGAACGGTGTGTTGAATGAGATGCATGTCGACTCATTCCTGTAATGCTGAGGCTGTCCAGTGTTGGAAGATTTCAGCTACGGGTCACCCCGAGATCACGTCAATTATTCCCATTTTCATCGAATACTGGGTCGAGAACTATCAAGCCGGTTAAATCGAGCATGTGAGTTTCAACGACTAAGTCCAAGGTTCAGTCATCTTACCGCAAGGGTGCCTCTCTCCGAACAAAGCTATTTAGCTAGTAGCCCAATGGTGATGACCGCGACATCATGATTCTGAGATGGCTACGATGAGAAGGACCGCCCTTGCACTTCTATATAGAAAAGCATAACATGCCAGTGACGCTTGTTGGAATTGGTAAGGACCATATTGCTTGAGCAAACATACAGAGAGTCTATCCGTTCCCAATGGTAATGCAGGGCTGCACAGACGTCCTACGGAGACCATAAAGCACGACACAGTACCCCAGTTCATTATTTCATGTTTCGTTTTGTTATTTTGATGGAGCCAAACAAGGTCTTAGCGACTCATTCTCTTAACAGATGTTTTGAACCAGGTTTAACGACACAATTGAGCCCATGCTCTCTTGTACACCACAAGCTGACTGACAACGTTCACTGACTCGGCGGCTAGGGCAGCTAGATCCGACAATCGCTCGCCCCATCAGCCTGACTTCTTCGCCTTGGAGACCCTGCCGCTCTTGATCTTGGTGGCAGCAGGCTTGTTGTTCTTGGCGGCCGACTTGCGCTTGGCCTTGGCACGTGCAGGCTTCGTGGCGGCCTCTTCGTCGGCGCGTCGCTGCTCGTCGAGGCGCTCAAGCATCTCTGTCATGGCGATCGTCTGGCGATACATGTGCAGCATGCTCTCCTGGATCATGGCCTGGACGGGGGTGAGGGTATCGGGACATATCCAGATGAAGCCACCTTCGAGGATGGTGGTGGCACCGTGATCGGGAGGACTTGAAGCAAGATCGAGGTCAGCTCTGGTGTTACGGATTCAGTCCTCCAGGGACATGAATGGGAGAACTCACGCGGAGGAGTTGTTGGTAGTCATCGTGGAAGAGCTCGAACCTGTGATGGTCTTGATTGACTGGAAGGTTTGTGGCCTGGTCGTCGTCGTACATGAGAGCTGAGGCGGCGAAGTGCTCTTGGCGAGTCGGCGGAGAGCTCTGTGTGTAGGAGGGTTCAGCTCAGATGGGAATCCCGCCCAAGAAGAAAGTGCGTGATGGCTTGGGAAGGAGCTTATGGTGATTGACGCAGGAAGATCTACTCCGTTGTGGCCAGAATCAGGAAGGGACTGCTCTCGTGGTTGCCGTGGTTTTCTCTCACAAATTGCCTACCAACAGCACTGGTACTGATGTGATACTTTCGGTGAAGCCCCGAAAGAGACAGCCACGAGGCCTCGAAGCCTCTTAAACAAGTACGGCTCCATGGACGCACCTCCCCTATGTGCAACGAAACAATTTGTGACCGTTATGGCTCTTTGATTCTGTGCGGCAGGCATGGTCTGAGGGGAAATGGAGATTTCAGTACGCTTCAACCACTTTCCGGTGTTGATCAGGATGTTTACGACAGCAACGCGTGCCCGCGCTCTTCCAGGAATACCACTGCATGAAATCAATATCTCGGGTGACGTACTTTCTTCTGCCTACATATTGCTACAAGTCCTTGCATCGTGAATGAATATGTTACTTGGAGGACATAACTGGTACACTCCACGTCGCGCCTCTCTCCTTTTTGTACTTAGCTTCATATATAACCCAGTGCATGTCTTTGAACGTGAGTTTCATGTCCCTTACATCAGATTCGCACCGTACAGGTCATCCCGAACCACCTATACACAGTATAATACACAGCTCTAGGCAGCATCAAGCAGCGTCGGATCCACCCCTTCACGAGGACTCGTTCTTGCCGCTGCCCTCACCCTTCTGCATGACCTCGCCTGTCGTCTCATCCACAACCTGAACCTCGTCCATCTCCGGATTCGCACGCTTCACCTCAGCCACCGCCTCGGCAGCCTCCTTGTCCATGAGCTCCTGCTGGAGGACGCTCCCCCTGCTCTTGGGATCGACAAACTGATCCTCCGGCTTCCCCTGCGCCTGTGTGGTCGTCGACGTCGCAGTCGGCTCAGGTGTCGCGGCGGCAGTGGCAGTGCTCGAAGTGATAGTGTTGCTGGGAGCGAATGATGAAGCGGAGGACGACGAGGTCGGCGAGCCCAGCGCGGCGGCCTCATGAAGCAGCTGAGCCTGGATAGCCTTCTTCTCGGCGAGCTCCTGGGCCCGTTTGGCCTCCTTCTTGATGTAGCCTGACACGGGAGACGGGGTCTCCCAAGTGACCCGGCCGGCCTTGGCGGCCTGCAGGCGGCGCTTGTTGCCCTCCTGGCCGGCGCGGCCGAGGATGCTTGCAATCGTGCCAACCGATCGGAGACTGTGAGAAAGGTTGTCATGTCAGTTGGTGGACAAGCGTATCTCTGGAGGGACACATCCGGTGCCCGGAAGAAACTCACCTGTCATCGTTGGCAGGGATTGGGTAAGTGACCCAGGTCGGCTCGGCATTTGTGTCGATCACGCCAATGGTTGGGATGTTGGCGAGGGCGCACTCGTGCAGGAGGACGTAGTTCTCGAGCGGGTTGAGGCAGACGACGAGGTCAGGCTTGATGGGCTGCGCCTCCATGTTGTGGTAGTTCAGCGACTCGATGACCTGGTCGTGCTCGTCCATCATGTGGACGGGCAGGCCGCGCAGTAGGACGTCGCTGTTGGTGATTGCACCCGCGGGCCACTTGGTGAAGAGGTGGAAGCCTTTGGCCATGCGTGCTGCCTGGACGACCATGCGGGTCTGTCCCGGCCGGTTGCCAACGAAGAGGATGTTACCGCCGGCATAGGCCACGCCGTCGACGATGCTGGCGGCGCGGCGCAGGTGGGATGCCGTCTGCTCGAGGCTTATGATGTGGATGCCCTCGCGGATGCCGAAGATGTAGCGTGCGTTGGCCGGGTTCCAGAGCGAGGTGTTGTGGCCCATGTGCACCTGAGCGGCCATAAGGAGCTCGAGGCTGATGTCGGCCGGGCCTGGTGGGTTGCGGAAGATGTCATCCGGGTGATATATCTTCTCGGTGACGGCGCCGGCCCTTCCAATATAGCTCTTGAGGTTCTGCGCCTTGCGGAATTCGGCAGCCGTGTTGTCAGGGACGTTCGACTTCTTGTTCTTGCTGTAGGGCTTCGCTGTCCGGATGAATAGCGAGGGAGGCTGCGATGCGTCTGTGCTCGTCTGGGACGGTGTCGTCGTCGTCTCGGTCGAAAGGGCGCGCACGCATCGTGACGTGCTCACCTGCGAAGTGGCTTGCCGTAGAGGAGCAGCAAGTGCTCTCCGCGCTGTTTGTGTGTCACGAGAGCGTCAGTGACCGCCTTGGAAAGAAGACAGACATGCCGCTGCCATTGAGCGGCTGCATGGATCGGAGGCTTACCTTGGCGGACTCCCATCTCTCTTATTATCATGATATGTATGCGCAGGACTGTTGATCCGAGCTGTGTCGAATGCTGGCCCTCGATTCACCTAAGTTTTAGAGATGGTCCAGCACTTGAGGTTGTCGCGACTTTTCTCGAGCTGCTGCATACTCCACAGGCCAATCAGTGCGCAGCCATCCCACCTTTGTGGAGCAGTGGACACTCCACATCCTCGCAGCATAAACGGCAGTCTTGCACATCGTGCACAATTCGTAGTCATGACGCTCGACCTAACTACCCTCCATGAGTCTTGGTTGGCATCAGCGGCCACGGTTGAGGTATATTAATCTATGTACTTGATTGCTACGAGTAGCATTTCTACAGTCGGAAATGTGCCTTTGTCCGTGGTCTCATCAGGGTGTGCTAAAAGTAAAACAAGAAGCTTGCTAAATCACTTGTTGGTATCGGGTTTTCTCCATAGCTCAGGTTCTACCGATTGCTAGACAGTCTCGAGATGGAGAAGACGCCAATAATGACCACAGCGAGGGCCGCGACCGCGCCGGGCAGGAGCAGCTCGTTGGGAATGCCAGCAATGACCTGTTCAGGCTCTGCATGGTGGTTGCCTCTCCTGCGACGTCTAACCGTGCTGAGATCCTCGTCGTCGTCGCTGTCGTCCTCGTCCGATTCCTCGACAATTCCGCGCCGGCGCCGAGCAGCCGATGCAGCGGTGCTTCCAGGTGGGGTTGGGAGTACGTCCGGCTGGGGCGCCGTAACGGTGACGGGGGGCTGAGCTGGGTCATGGACAAAGAGGTCGACCTTCTCGCGATGGCTATGCCTGGCAAGCATGATGGCCTCGAGCAAGTCCTCGTCTGTAGTGATCGAGACAGTGTCTCCCTCATCATCCAAGTAGCTCATGGCAAATCCGCTGATGCTCAAGCTGCCATCCTCAACAGTCGGTGTTCCACCCAGCGCCTCGGCCTCCTTGCCTAGCTTCGCGGCCACGCTCGCTACGAACTGCTCGATGCCCTGGCTGGCAGTGACCTG